AGAAGTTATTCACCAAGTAAATTCTCATACTATTGCCCACACTGCAGCGCAGTGTTTTTTTTTTTTTTTTACAAACCATTAGTTTGAGAGACAATACAGACATACAGACACATATGAAAATAGATATATGTATGTAAATATGTGCTCATTTTACAAAGCCGATCAACGGTAAAGTTTGGGCTTTACAATCTGCACAGGCAGCAAGAAGTGCATACTCAGGCACACAAATATATATACACTTAGCGAGGGACTGAAATTGTTTGTGTGCATGCTCGCCGCCAAAGCATATTATTTATGCGCCTCAACGCTTTCATTTATTGGTACCTACTAGACAGATTTTTCGGTGTTGAAAATGTTTGTTGTACATGTCTAGTCTATGTGTTATTTGGTTAGTGGTTCTACTTAGTCCATCTCCTCGATATTCAGACTTACCCAAATCACAGAGTTTAAGCGTTTCAGGCGTTTGTCGCATGCTTGCGTAGATCATATTCGAAGGTTTCAGATCTCGGTGAACGACTCCGTGCTCGTGTAAATAAGCGACTGCAGCGGCAATCGTACGTAGAACTGCACTAGCCTCACTCTCGCACATTTGCTCAACTGCCAAGATGCGATCGAGCAGTTCGCCGCCCTTAAGCAACTCCATAACTAAATACGCAGAGCTGGCATCTTCGTACACTGAATATAGTGTCACAATATTCGGATGATTACCGTAGCGCAGCATTATCTCTACCTCCTCCCAGCAATCAGCTGTTGCAGGGGAGGCTGCAGCTATAGCCGCCTTTTCAATGATCTTCACAGCGTAGTGTTTTTTGGATGCGCGATGCTCGCACAGACGACATACAGAGAACGTCCCACGTCCCAATTCATGGAGCAAATTATATTCGGACAAGAAATTACCAGGTAGGACACCAGGCAAGCTGCGTGGCCCTGGTGCCGCCACCACAGACGGTACTGAGGCAGCCGGTAGAGTAGCGTGAATGGGACTGACATTATTGGAGCAGCTGATATTAGTATTATTCTCTAGTAGGATGGGTGCCACGAAGCTAAAGCCACGAAATATTTCGTGTGCAGATGCGGATATTGGACCACCTGGCGAATCCCGTGGCGACTTGGAAGTGTACTCCACATCAAAGTAGAAAGCATCATCACGACTGACTGCCGGTATGAATGGTGGACGCACCAGTTTACGTTCCAGACGTACCCAATCAATGGTGGAAAAGAAACAATGCGCTTTAATATCCAATATACCTTGCGCGCCAGCACCTAGTCGATTCAATGGGTTGCGTTTGAAGAGCGCACGCAGCAAAGACTGTGCTTCTGGTGATAGATTCTCGGGCATGCCTAACTTGGAGCGTAATATTTGATTCATGGTCTCTTGGCGTGTCTGTCCATGAAAAGGCAGGTTCCCGGTTAGCATTTCGTACATAAGGACACCGAATGACCACCAGTCGGCAGCAAAGTCATGACCCTTGCGATTTACAATCTCGGGGGCCATGTATTCAACCGTGCCACAGAAACTATACGTCTTAGAGCCATCCAGAGGTTGCTTAGACAAACCAAAGTCTGTCAAAGCGATATGCCCATGTTCATCGAGGAGAATGTTTTCTGGTTTCAAGTCGCGATATATGATCCCGAATGTGTGCAGATGATTGAGCGCCAATGCCAGCTCTGCCAAATAGAACTTCACATCTTCCTCAGTGAACATGACCTCCTTGGATAGTCGTGTAAACAAATCACCTCCGCGCAGAAAATCCAGTATTAAATACAATTTACCAGGTGTTTGGAATGCATAGTGTAGACGTACGATAAATGCGTGCCCTACATCAGCAAGAATTTTTCGCTCGTTGGTGCTGCGCACGCGATCCTTAATTTTAAGTGTGGCTTTCTTTAAGACCTTCATGGCGTACAGAGTGCCCGCATCTTTTCCTAGAATCTTGCGCACCAAAAATACTTTGCCAAAGCTGCCCTCGCCAAGTACACGTAACAGCTCAAATTGAGAAGGATCCGCTTTATCGTGACCCTCTTTGATCACTTCGCGCAATTCGAATTCATTATAACTAGCTGCACCATAAGATTCCGAGTCGCTTAGCTCCATCTGTTCGGAGACTTTGCTTGGTGTTATATGATGTTGTTCGAGTGCTGTTTGTAGCTGCTGCTGTTGTTGCTGCTGGTGTTGACGACGCTGAGATGAGGTCACTGTTGTCACGGCGCCGCTATCCTCATCCGTGGGCGTGTGATCCATCGGTGTCACCGCAAGACTACTGCAGCTAGAAGAGGTAATTTGCATGCGTTGTCGCAGTTGCAGGCCCATCGTTGTTGCCGCCGCAGTTGATGTTTTTGTCGCCGTTGTTGCAGCTGTAGAACTGACATTATCCAGCCGAGTTTGCTCAGCATCGTTGCTATTGCTGATTCTGTTGCTGTTGGCTTCCACTTGCTGTTGCTGCTGCTGTAGGGATCTCAGATCTCTATTTGAGTCAGCCAGTGGCATGACTGATGCTGAATTGTGGGCGTTTAATTGTCCGTACACGTTTTTGGGCGTTTTGATGATTTTAATTTAAACAACCTGTAGTTATTTGTATTATTGTTGTTGCTACGTCTAAACAACAGGCACGTCAAACTATGAAAGCAAAGGCATAAGTGTTGCGCTGCTCGCTGCTGCTCCGTTTCTGATTATGCTTTTCACGTATTATTATTTTTTTTTCTTCCTCTGTTAGAAAAACACTTTCTAGGGATGTGAAATAACATCGCATCATTATTTTATCGGTTTAATGTCTTGCCGATTGTATTACGATTATTATTTACAATAGGTATCGGTAAACATCGACGATATAATTTAAAGCAACCTCGCCTATACATATAGACACATAGCACTAACCAGAGAACACATAGACCAGACACGTAGTGTAAAGTGTTTTGCACACTTTTTTTTTGACATTACGACCCACACA